TTACCTTAGCTTAACTCTACCTCGCCCTTTCTCTGTCAGTGATAAAGAGAGAAAGAAGGAGAGCGTATTGAAATGAGTTCATGGGTTTGATCCTCCATCCGAATCCCTTTCTGAACTTTCTAATAACGTTAACTGTTATGCTTCATTTATATTGGCCGCCGAATTCTTTCCCTTCAAACTTTTGAATAAGACTCATACTTTTCTGAATGAATCGTTCTTTCCCCTTTTCGGGTCATTTCCTCTACGTAGGTGATTGTTCTTCAGGCACTCAGACGAATCAAATCGATGTCAAAATGATTATCATCATGTTACTCAGTTCACTAAGAGGGGCTCTGAGCAATAACAAAAAGTGGGGAAAGAATGAGAAATGTACTGAACTCTTCGTAGTGTTGCCTTCTTTCTCCTCTTTTCTCTTGGTAGCCTTTTCTTTTCGTCCCACCTCATCACCCTTTCACACCTTTTTGTTTTTTAAATTCCTGCTACCTTAATTGCAAGCTGGCTTTTTTTCTTGAAATAGCATTCGTTCTACACAGTTGGATTAGAAAAGAAAAAAACACATTGGATGTTTTTTCATTCCAAAACTGTTTTGTTTGAGCGCCGTGAGATTGTGAGATGGAATTCAGCCTTCTTTTTTCTCATTGCAAATCTGATAATTCTTACTAATTTATCACAACTTCCCTCTGTATTTCATAACCAAGGATTTTCTGAGAAACTTAATTCTTGGAAACAATCCTTCTTATGAGAGATTTGTTCAAGGCTTTCTCGTTGCCTTTGCCGTTGTCGATGTCGTTGTCGTAGCCGCTGTCGTTGTCATTGTCGTTGTCGTTGTCGTTGTCGTAGTCGCTGTCGTTGTCGTCGTCGTATGTCATCTCGGCACCTCAATACGCCGTCAAACGATAGAGATGAATAGACAGAGACGCATATGTCTAGCCTTCTGGAAGATCTTGATTCCTCGTTCTCTTTCTTCCCAGAGGCCGTCCTCCATACAACCATTTCACACTGTTTGTCCTCATTTGAACGATAATTGACCTGTCGTCTAACTGGTCTCTTTCGCGTGTACCACCCGAGCAGAATCTTGAACACGAAGTTATTTCATTCCGTCTTCTTTTTTATTGAAATCAAAATTATTTCTTTTTTTCGTAGTTTCACAGTTTTATATGAACATCTCTTATCTACCCTTGTTTTGGGGTTTGCTAGGATGGTTTTCGAACTGTTTGGAAATGTTCGGCGTGATCACGAGGGTTCCCGATTGCTTCATATGGAGATTAACTTCAGAAGTGATCGAGATCACATTCTGATTTATTTCCTACGAGCCAGTTTCTTTTCCTCTCTATCTACTCATTTATATTTCCTTATTCATCATGCCCCTCCTGATTTTCGTTTCTCTCTCTCTCTCCGCCCTCTCTCTCTCACTCTGGACATGCTTGTTGTTATTATTTTATTTTAACCATATCTCTTTAAACCTCCTACACATCATTCTACTTTCCTATGAACTATGGCTACTCCATCGCAAAATATTCTCAGCTCTTAGCTCGTTGATTTACTGCTCACAAAACTATTCAGAATTGTCACACTCCCAACTTTCTCATGCAAAAAAGTATTTCGAGTTGTTTTTAGTATTTGAGACAGCAGAAGGCCGTTACATACAAATACACAAACATCGTCAAGATCACATGTGCTGGTTGTTGTTATTCTGACATATCTTCACGTTCTTCTTGTCCTTCTTTTACTTCATCATCATCCTTCACTACTTTTTATTTTTAAAGCTTAGAGCTCGTCATCGATTTGATTAACATTCAACTTCTATTCAACTTCCTAACCCACGTTTCATACAATCATCTCAAACCACCACGGAATGTAGTGTTGAAGCTTATTGAAGAGCCTATGTTTAATATTTTGCTTCGCACCCTTCTCATGTACTTTTTGAACTTTTCTGTAAACATCATCTCCACACCTTTTTCATTTTCTCTCTCCTTTTTCATCTCTTCTTCACATGCATCTCTCAATCTATCCTTTCAACAACATTTCTACATGAAAATACTTGAAATGTCAAGGATTTGTTTCGTCCACCATCATCGCTCGGTCTTGTTGTCCTCAAATAGCTTGTTTCAACTTAGACTGTATTCTTTCATCCTTAAAATATCAGCATAATCCTAGACAGATGGCAGCGGGCAGCCTATAGACTCAGCAGGCGTTCAGGGTCGTTCTATGAAAGAGATTCACATTTCTTCTCAGGAGCATCCTTTTTTCTAAAATCTTTCTCTGCTACTTACTGCGACCATCCATCTTGCGATGTACTATTTCTATGAATGTTACTTGTTGTCTGAAGTTCAAATTGATTAATTTTAATCATTCCGTTTTGAACGATGTTTCGAACCACATCCGTTCTCTCGTTATGTTCCTGCATTCATCGCATGTTGATCGTCATCGTCTTCTATCGCATCTTCTTTGATGCACACTTCTATGAAAATCGATTTATAATTGTCTTCAAGTTCACTATGTAATTCCAATTGATTTTCTCATGATGAATATCGTAAAGGAAATAAAGTTATTTGGAGGAATATGAGAGTAAGAAGATAAGAATGAATGCAACCGATCTGTCTGTTCAAAAGTTTGAAAATGATATTGCGTGACAACGAGTAGTTCACGTGGGAATCACGTTAACTGTCATGCAAATTCAGTTGCGAACGAAGTAATTATCAAGAACGAGATTGATTGAGAAAGGAAAAGAGTATGGAAGAAGTTCAAAAGCTTCATTTAGAAGCTGAAAGATGTTGTTTGTGAGGATTTATAGTACTGCTGGTGTAGTATGCAAGCATAAAGCTGAAGCTGGCAAGAACGAAAGAGATGCAGAAATGGTGAGAAGGAGGAGAGCTAGAGAGAGAGAAAGAGAGAGAGAGCGCGCTTGAAAGTGAGGCATTTTTGATGAGCAAAAAAAAATAGAGAAAGTATTCAGAATTTATCTTTATTTGAATCAAATTCCATCAGCTGTTCCGTTTTAAAAATACTTGATTTCAACTGTCGCTGTCCTCTTACAACCGACATTATACCTGATTGTAACTTTAGAGCGAATGCTACGTCCCTCCATCTTCCTCTCCCAAAAATTCCTTCAATATGATTGAAATTACTTTTTCTTAGTCTCTTTTAGTTTTTCCTCCCTTCCTCTTCTTCCTTCTTCCATTCCCCTTCTCGTCTTCATCTTCTGATTATTCCATCTCCATTCTTCACTATATTCAGTTTATTCATCTTCATTTCGGTAGAAGTTTTCGTTTCCATCTCTCTCTATCTCTCTCTCTCTCTGTTGTTCATATTTTCTTTTCGGGTTTTCCATTATTTTTGACTCAAAAAACTTCATTTTTCATTCTTTTTTTCCCAGCAATTGCCGCTTTGACTAATCTCTTCCTCGACATCCCAAACTGTCACAACATCCAAATAAGGTTTTTTTTCTTCTTCTTCTCTTTTTCTTCCCTCTTCCCCCCCCCCCCTGTTTCCTCTCCTGTCACACATTGCCAACATTCTCTCTTCTGCTTCGTAAATAATATTTTTTTAATTTCCGAAAAAGATATTATTTCACCGTTCAACAACTTTTATATTTGTTTATAACAATGTTTCCTTTCTTTCTTTCTTTTTCTATTTTTTTTTGTTTTGCTTATTTTTTTTCTTCCTCATCTTCGTTTGTGCAAAACACAACCAGATAGCCCCCCCTTCCCATATGTGTATGGCTGGATTGATCATAACTTCCGCCTGACATCAAGTCCTTTGCTTGTTAAACTTCTTTTTTTTCATCATTTTTTGCTGTTTATCTCTACGTTTCCCTCCTATTTTTCAATGAAAAGTAGTTTGCCTATCTGTACCTCCCTCTCGCTCTCTCTTCTACCGCATACCATTTTCCATCAATTAAAACTCAGACAATCGATGTGTTTTCTCATTTCTGCAACTTGTTCTTACTTCTCCATCTGTGTTTACAATTCATTTCTTACTATTTTCAAAGTTGTTTTGGCTTGAAACATTAATCAGAGTTTGTTGTTTTTTTTTCGTGAAATCACTCTGTGCTGATGAAGGAAAAGATAGAATTTGTCGTTGCTGCTTATTACTTGCTTGTGTTTTTTCATTTAGTGCTGGTCATATCCTTTTTTGGGACAATTTTCTTACTTCCTTCTTAACAGTTTGGAGAAATAATTATAAGAGAGTGCGGATGAGAGAGAGATAGAGAGAGAGAGAGATAGCGATTGGAATAGAAGCAGAACGTAAGGAAACTAAGAATAGATAGAAAGCAGGGTATGGAGAGTCAAATGTTAAAATGAAAAATATAACAAAAATATATAAAATAGGAAATGAATACAATGGAAGAGAAGAAGAGAGGTTCAATTCTATTCGACTTATCTTCAACCAACAGTCCTTCTTATACGTTCCATGTGAGAGCGCCCCGAACGGCCTACATATACCTGGCCCTGTCTACGCACGGCGACCCGAATTACTCTGAAAAATCCAAAAAGTGCCGTCTGTTTGTCATTCTCTCTCTTAGCGTTCAAACCTTGAACGAGGTGTATCTGCTAGCGTCTCCGTGTCTGATTCTCTTCATTATTCTCTTTCCCTATCGGCTACAGCCGTGGCTGGTGCTGGCTGGTGCTTTTTCCCCTCTCTTCAGCCAGATCATCTCATGTGTATATGTCTGGTGTGGTGTCCTTGTCAATATTAGACTTCTGAATCTCATAGTAGAATCAACAGTTTCTTTCAATCAATTCTTTATATCCATTATAGACTTAGCGTGTAGCATTCTGCCTGGTAAGATATTCTGTTGGCGACAGTTAACAGTTATCAGCCCCACCAGTTATCAGTCATGCTCACGTGAAGCTCTTCTTCTTTTTAGCTTTACCTCGGTCTTTTGCGAGGCTTTTCCCAACAAAATTGCTTTCCCTATTGATTTCTTTACTGATAAATCTTCAATTTTTCATATTTAATCTTTCGTCTCTCCTCTAATTTATTGTTTCTGTTTTCAGCGTTGCGTAGCTTGCGGCGTCTGCGAGGACTTCCCTGTAGCACCAGTGGCTGGAGCACTAACTTGAGCAAAAGGCCAAGGAAGAACCCTGGGAATTCGAGTAGACCAGCCGAGTCTACTATGGCTGAAGGCGATCCACATGCTGATACGATCGTATTAGGGCCTGATGAATCAGGACGAGCAGCCACACCGAGCCAAGAAGGATGTCGAAGGTAAGAATTGTAGAAAAAAACAGTTTTTTTTCTGTTTTTTAACAACCATAAGAGATCGTATCAAAAAAAAATACAGCTCCAGGTACGACTTGCGTAGACGGAGATCTATCCAGCAAAAAGATGAGGAAGGATGTTCTACGAGTATCATGGCTGCCACTGCTGATGAGGTAGCTTTCATATCTTTGTTTTTCCTTTGTCTTTCTTCCAAGCTCAACTTCTCGATATTAGAAAAAGCCATACATGGTTATGTATGTATGTAATTTTCAAGGTTGAAAGACGAAGAAATAGACGAACGGGCTTGCACTGTAAAATTCATCTTATTTGATTGATGATGTTTCGAGCTGGGTCAGGAGAAAGTGTGATTGGGTCAGATATGGGATAATCACTCTTCTTTCTCTTTTCAACTTCTTCTCCCAACTTCTCGAATTGTTATCAGTTGTTTTACATGAACTTCGGTGATATATATGTTATCGGGAGAGAATGAAGATGAAAACTCTGAGAGTTTTTGTTCCATTGTGTTCTGAAAAAGTTCAATACATGCCAACCTTGATTAGTTGCAGGCTGTGGAACCAATAATAAAACGATTCAAAGAATCACCAGGAGAAGCTCGGAAAACGTGAGTACATTCATGCAGAAGATCATGCATCATTCTATTCTTTTAGATATTTAAATAATTCAAGTCTGAAAAATGATTCTCCTCGAGGCAAACAATGCTATATTGATGCTTTACCCTCCGAGCTATTAATAAAGGTTAGTAGCTAGAAAGCAGTTCTGTCATTTCTCACTGAGTTGACACATCTGATCTCTGAAAGCTTGCTTCTTCCCTTTGACAACTCTTCTTTATTCAGATTTTCGGATGCTTATATGAAGCTGATCTCAGAAGATGTGCGGCAGTCTCTCGCCGGTTTTATAGCCTCTCCAATGATTCATCATTATGGTTTGTGACCTCTCTTAACTATATTCAAGTTCTACTCTTGCAGGAGAAAACTATATGAGGATGCTTTCGAATATACTATTCCGCTTTATCATCCCACTCATGGAAGATTCGAGTTCCGTGCCGCTGAAAGATGGAAAGATACTCGTAATGCCTGGAAAGAAAGTTTCCGACAACTGGTACGTAATCCTTGAACCTTGTATTGTCGATTAACCTATTGTTCGCAATTTTCATATCTATTCCATTTATCTTTTTAATTTCAGCGTCATGGAATTCATGTTCGACCGGGAAAGGCTCACATCTATGAAGGTCATTCTGGACGCAAAATGACGCATTTTGAAAGGATTGACGATGCTTTAAGGTTTTTTGCAAAGCTGTAACATTCATAACTTTACTTCTCTTGATAGGTTTTTGGACGCCAGTAGTAGTAGAGCTGAAAAGTTAATTTTCCTGCATACTGGACACTATTTCCCAGATCCCATTGTTATAGATTCAGCCGTTCAAATTGTTGGAGCTAGTAAGTTTTAAGTTTTTTCAACTAAGTAGAACACTGCGTGATTGAATCTGTTAGCCTTTGTGAGCTCGAGTCTACTTTTTAAACTTCTGACTGGTTTTTTTGACAATTTACATGTTGTGACTGCAATGTGGGACAGTACAAACCAGACTGGCGGGCTATTTACGCTTAAGCTGCGTCCAGTATTTGGCCATAATCATCTCAAATTGTTGTACTTTGCGTGAAGAACTTGAGGGATCAATAATTCCGTGTTTCACGCATGATGTTTCAGTATCTTTTGAAACGATTTTCTTTTTTCGAATGAGTACAAGGGGGTTGTCGACCTAACGGTTATTTTTGCGAGTATTTCAATTGAGAAGGATTAATAACAGAGATATATGTTCGTTTTTACATGCATTTCTTTTTTCAGGCAAGGGTACTGAAATCAATAAGCAGGTTGTCATAGAACAGAAAAATGATACAACCATTTCTTTCATTGAAAACAGTGCTAAAATCTATTCCATAGGTGAGTGATTCTCTTTTTGGAATAATTCTATTCATCTCTTTTACAGATGCTTTTCTTGGTTTTGTAACAATTAAATTTAATCCTGATAAACCTCCTGATGGTGATACCCCTGTACCTTATCATCAACAACATTATGCTTTACAAGTGAGTTTATTTCATCCACACTAAAACTCGGCTGCATCTGATTTGCATTATGTGCAGCGCAGGACGTGATTTCTTCGCGCGCCTAATTTTTTTTCATTTCAATTAAACGCTAGTCAGATGCGGTTGTTCTCCATTACTTATCCCTGAATTGTCTCATATAACATTCTTTCAGATTACGGATGAAACTGCACCAACAATTGATAGGTGTCACATAAATTCAACATGCTCTGTAGGAGCTGCTGTTTGTGTTAAGAGAACGGGAGCTAATCCAATTGTAAGTTTCCGTTTCTTCTTCTATTTTTCTTGCACTATTATGGTCTTCTATATTATTTCAATCTTTTCATTTAAGGTTCGCCACTGTACAATAACTGATTGCGAAAACGTTGGAATATACATTACCGAAGGAGCTTTGGTAAGTAGTTCTTCAATTCATTCTCTTCATTATGCTTACTGTTTAAGGGAAGGTTCGAAGACTGTGAAATCGCCCGAAACAACTTGGCAGGCGTTTGGGTCAAGAATCATGCTAACCCCATGTTCCGGCGTTGTCATATTCATAGTGGCAAAGATGTTGGAGTATTTACTTTTGAGTATGTTTCACAAATGTTTTCGTTGAAACAATTTTGAACTTCCAGATATGGACAAGGCTATTTCGAGAAATGTAACATTCATTCAAACCGCATCTCCGGTATTGAAGTGAAAAACCATGCAAATCCAACTGTTGTTCGTTGCGAGGTGCATCATGGCCAAACGGGTGGAATTTATGTTCATGAAAAAGGTTTGTGATGTGTACACAACATTGATATCAATTTTTCTATCTTAGGTAAAGGCCAATTCATGGAAAATAGAATTTATGCTAATGCCTTCGCTGGAATATGGATAACATCTCATTCTGATCCTACTATTAGGAAAAATGAAATTTTCAGTGGCCAGCAAGGCGGTGTATATATATTTGGCGATGGTACGTCATTGTAAAGTATAATATGAGTTTTCATTTGCTGTTTTTTTAGGCCGAGGTTTAATAGAAGCTAATAACATTTACGGAAATATGCTGGCTGGTATTCAAATACGAACGGGCAGTGATCCAATTGTACGTCTGAATAAAATTCATGATGGACAACACGGTGGAATTTATGTGGTTTGTGGTTTTACTTCGACGTCAGTAGCCTAATCTATTATTTGCAGCACGAAAAAGGTAAAGGGCTCATCGAGTCAAATGAAGTTTACGGAAATACATTGGCTGGTATCTGGGTAACCACGGGATCTTCCCCTATTTTGAGAAAAAATAGAATTCACTCTGGAAAACAGGTAAGGATTGATTGATGAGACTATTCAAACCAAATTCTTTGAAGGTTGGTGTCTACTTCTATGATAACGGACACGGACTACTCGAGGAAAACGATATATTTAACCATTTATATTCGGGTGTTCAAATAAGGTATGTCACTGAGTTCAAAGTTTGAAACTTACACGAGCATTTTAGAACGGGTTCTAATCCTAAAATCACAAGAAACAAGATTTGGGGAGGACAAAACGGAGGTGTTCTAGTTTATAACGGCGGTCTCGGTTGTTTGGAAGACAATGAGATTTTTGATAACGCAATGGCCGGTGTTTGGATCAAAACCGATAGTCAACCTATCCTGCGACGGAACAAAATCTACGACGGTCGTGATGGTGGCATTTGCATTTTCAACAAAGGACGTGGTCTATTGGAAGAAAATGATATCTATCGTAATGCTCAAGCTGGTGTACTCATATCAACGGAATCCAATCCAACATTACGACGGAATCGCATCTTCGAAGGCAAAGCGGCCGGTGTTGAAATCACAAACGGAGCTACAGCCACATTAGAAGGAAATCATTTATTTAATAACAAATTTGGAGGGCTATGTCTAGCCACGGATGTTCATCCTGTTATCCGAGACAACTTCATATATAGTAATCATAATGCTGTCGAGAAAGCAGTAAATCGCGGACAATGTTTGTTCAAGATCAGTAGTAGTACTACGTTCCCGATGCATGATTTTTTCCGGTTAGTTCTACATCCCTGAGGCGCTTTAATTGAATCCTAATATTTCCAGGTGTATCAGTTGCAATACAACAGATCGAAATGCTATTTGTACTAATTGTATAAAGGTTTGCCATAAAGGACACAAAGTAGAGTTCGTGCGGCACGATCGGTAAGCAACTTCAGCTAGTAGTTCAAGACTAATTCTCATATCTTATCCAGGTTCTTCTGTGATTGTGGTAATGGAACTTTAGAGAGTCATCGTTGCAGCCTTCAGACTGAAGTTCGAGACAACGATACAGTTTACGATTCGAATATGCCAACAGAGTTGGATAGTGCGAATAGCCAACAAATTCTGTAGATACTTTGCAACCGAAAAAAATATAATTTACATCGTTTCCCCAGAGTTGGAGCTCTCAATAGAAAGCCTTATTGAACATATATATCACAATATCCTGTCTTTTCAACTTAATCTTTCTCTCTCTTTCTTGTGATACAAAAGGGTATAGTTCTAAGAAAAACTATATTTAACTATCTTGTCATTTTCCTTACTGTCATCTCCATGATCTTTTGATTAGAATGATATACGTTATGTTGATTCTGATTGTTTTAAAGAACTGCATAGTTAGCATAGATATGAAATAATTTTATCGTCTGTACTTCACTTCAAAAATGTCATTCTCATCACAATCCTTCAGTAACATTTGAGTAGAAACAATTAGTTTTAATGATATCCTTCTGTGTCTTGGTCTCGTCTGGAATTTTGCCATGTATTAACGTTGAACACTCAAACTTGTTAAATTGAATTTTGGGATTTTTTTGTAATTTTGATTTTTTGTTTTTGTTTTTACAGACATGCTCCCCCATGAAGCTTTTTTCGCTGTTGCATCCTGAGTTGATTCTAAGAAATTATTATTTAATAGTACTTTAAATCGTATTCTCATAAAAGATTTAAATCTGAAAGTTTGTTCGTCATTAAAACACCCATTGCAAATCATAAAAAGCTTGAGACCGACCGCTCACTAAATTGGAACAGTGAGGAATGAAAACGATTGGCACAACCGCCCACAGAGTTCAAGTTAAGAAAAATGAAATCAAAGTGTCTAATATATAGATCTAACGTGAAACATACACTGGCATGAAAATGAAACATACACTAGTTGCAGTAGAAGGATCATTTAACCCATACGAGATACGAAGCACCTGCATCTGCGGCTATCTAGTTGACGCCTGCTATCAAAATTGTACCAACGTTCAATGACATTTGGGTTTCTCTTAAGAGTCTGGGTATATTGCTATGTTGGGAAGATCATATAGTCGGCTTAGGTGCCTGTTGAATGTATAGATATTTCATAGGACAATCCAGTCCACGACAATCTTTTGATAATTGTAAAAAGTAACGGCAAAATATGATAACAGTTAGTATGTTTGTAAGTTTTTTCTGTGGTCGAAAACTTAGAGATATGAAGTACGGAACAGTACTAACGCTGAGTATATAGAAAACTGTCTGAACCAGGTCTGTATTCCAATCTTCATCGAAATCATGTCTTTCTTCAATAAATATCTGATAACTTAGATTGGAATAGTGTAAAGTTGGCTTAGGTGCTTATTGAATGTATAGATAGTTCTTGAGACAATCCAGTTAACAATATTCAATCTTTTGCGATAGTTCTTTTTTCTGTCGATCGATAACGGCTTGTAGGTTGATCTGACTTGTTACTAAGTTTGAGTAAAATTTTCTTGACACAGTGCCAATTTTCCTTGACTTTCTTTGTTGTTGTTCCCGACCACTTACATGTATATCCACTTTTTTTTTTCTTCAATTAATGCTGTCTGAATCACTTTTCTGTGTTTAGATTAATCATATGAGTTCTTTGCTCTTCTGCCCAATTTCGAAAGCGTCTCTAGGCAGGTCAGGAATAGTTACAACCATTCAATGATTCAAGATGAACAACTTATATGGAGACTAGGATGAGAGGTTTGGAGTGATCATTACATATCAAAAAAGATTTCAGATGCCATAGACTTCCTCGGTATCATTCTGGATTTCATGACCACAAATGGGGTAAGTTGAAACAACGATATAGTAAAGAGATTTGTTCAACGACTCTGCTTTCATGTTGTGTTAGGTATTACTCTCGTTTAATATTCAAATTAGCTTTTCAACTGTTCAGTTCTAGTCACAGTTCTAGCCGAAATCTCTACAAGTTATTCCGAGCAACCTAGCCTAATAGTTACTTGCTAATGGGTGAATGAGAAATGCCTATTGCGATACCACGGGTGTATATTCATTGCGATGAGGTATTTTTTGACCTCAACGTTGAGATACCAACCTATTGGCAAAAGTCGCAGCGTCATCCCACTTAGACTTCTAGAGTCCAATCATTTCATTGCTCGCTTGTTTGGCGTACTGGGCTTCACTCACTCCTTCTCCTCTCTTAATATGCATAGTGATTATGTTGATTCTAATACTGTGTGTTTCAGAACAGCGATGGGCTCGAACAGGCCTAAACTACGTTGGCCGGTTGTGTTTCTGACTGCTTTGGCAGTGTGTGTTAACTCTCGATCATTACGTATGTTATTCTCGTTTTCCTTTTTAAATTCTGAAATCTTGAGTGAATCAGTTCAGTAATATAAATTTTCAGAAAGTACTCCAGTTTGTTCACCAGGAGAACAATCTGCTCTTGTACTCGATCACAATGCAACTGTTGGGCTTACATTAAGAACACTCTCCACCGTTTCGTTTTCTGAATGCTCCGATCACTGCTCCACATCACCTGTATGTTTTTTTTCGCACCTGAATATAAAATCTGTTTAGGATTGTCATGGAGTTTTGTACACAGTAGCTAAATGTGATATCTTTGGTGTTGGAAAAGAACAAGCACCCGAAGGAAGTAAAATTTTGCGTAAAAACTGCGTAAAAAGTGAACGCATCTGCTCTTCTCCATTCCATTTTGACGCCTTTGAACAAAAGATTCTTGTTGGGTTTGCTCGTGAAGTTGTGCCCGCAGATAACATCCAGGTAAATTTGGAAAATGGGAACGAATTGATTTCATTGCTCTTGTAGATCTGTATGGAGAATTGTTTGAACTCCTTTGATACCTTCGGGTTTGAATGTGAATCGCTCATGTATTATCCTACCGATAAGGAATGTATTCTTAATACGGAAGATCGATTGGATAGGCCAGATCTATTCACGGATGAAGTTGAAGACACTGTCACTTATATGGATAACAACTGTGCCGGATGTGAGTTTATACCTTCATCTTGCCTTACATAATATATGTTCAGCTCAATGCTACGCCCCGTACATCACTCAATACATATCTGTGGAAGGAAAACAGCTAGAGAATGAGCTGGATCGAATCATCAATGTTGACCTGGATTCTTGTCAGAGTCTCTGCACTCAACGTCTCTCTGTCTCTGCGAATGACTTCAACTGCAAGTCATTCATGTATAACAATGTAACTCGCACCTGTATTCTCTCTGACGAACGTTCAACCCCTATGGGTCGCGGTAGTCTTGTTTCAACTCCAGGATTCACTTATTATGAGAAGAAATGTTTTGCCTGTGAGTCGTTCTTGGTAGATATGGTAACATTGCCGATTGTTTTCAGCTCCTAACACATGCCGAAACATTCCATCTTTCATCCGTGTTCCGCAGAAAATTCTTGTTGGATTTGCAGCTTTCGTTATGGAGAACGTGCCTTCCGTCACAATGTGCTTAGACCAATGCACCAAGTATGCTAGGATACATTTGTAATTATCAACATCTTCTTCACTTTCAGTCCGCCACCTGAGACTGGAGACGACTTTGCCTGTAAATCAGTGATGTACTACTACAATGAACAAGAATGTATATTGAACGCTGAAGACCGCTATTCGAAGCCAGATCTCTTCATCGCCGAAGGAGACGAGTTTCTTGTGGATTATTTCGATATCACTTGCCATCTCGAAAGCGAAAAATGTGCTCCAGGAAGTCACTTGAAGGCTGTTCGAACAATCAATGCCGCTCTCCCAGAGGGTGATGGTTCTTTGCATGTAATTAAGAATGAAGGATCAGGAGTACAAGAGTGTATGAAAAAGTAAGTCAAGATAATGCCTCTACATCAAACTGTTGTATTTGAAGATGTTTCGAAATGGCTCCAGAGAAATGTCGTTCGTTCAATTTTGACAAAAAGTCTCAAACTTGCGATCTTCTGTATTTGGATGGACAAACGAATCTTAAACCACAGATTCGTCATGGAACGGATCTATACGATCTTCACTGTTTAGCTGGTAAGTAATCTCGTTCTTGATTTATGAACAAGAGCACGATTTATTTCCAAATACAGATTTGACTTTAGTGGAAGCCGAGTGTTCTACCCAGAAAACAGACGCCCTCTTCTCTCGTTATCCTCATACCAAACAAAAAGGAATTCCTTCAAAAACATACAAGATTGTTTCTCTCAACTCTTGTCTTGAGGTCTGTGCTGGAAATCCAACGTGAGTCTATTAGTTAAAAGAAGAATTTGTAATTAATATTTCGCAGTTGTGCTGGAGTGAACTACAATCGACGCATCGGGCATTGTGATATTTTCGATGGCATAGATGATTCTTCAGACAGCAACGAATACGTCGATTTTTATAAAAACCTCTGTGTCGTCAAAGAAGAAGACCTCAGTGTTTCCGCTGCTGCTCATGTACCAGCCCCTAATCACCGCGTCAGCGGAACAGTAACAGGAAAAGATAACTCAAAGAGCCACTTATCTGTTAACAAAAAAGTCAAGCCATTCATCAAAGAGCAGGAACATCGTCGTGCTCCTGAATCCGCTCTCCCAGTCGGCCCCCCCGTATCTGTTCCAGCTCAGGCTATCCAAACTCTTTGCAACTACGACGGAATCAAAGTTCAGATCAACCACAAAGAACAGTTTAGTGGTGTTGTTTTTGTAAAAAACAGATATGACACATGTCGTAAAGAAATCATCAATTCTAACGGAGCCACCTTGAACCTCGGCCTTCCTAAAGACTTCGGAATGAAGCCTATCATCATTGGTGATGATGAACTCCAAGCAAAGCCCGAATTCCAAGGAAAACAATCATTAGAAGATTTCAAGCGAGCTAAGAGACAAGCTCTTCGTGAATGCGGAATCATTGATATGGTTTAATTTTCTTTTCGATTTTATCTCATCCTAACTTGCTTCAGCTCAATGGAACTTACAAAGCTACTGTTGTTATTCAGACAAACAATCTTGGAATCCCAGGTCTTGTTACATCAATGGATCAGCTTTATGAAGTATCTTGTGATTACTCCAGTATGCTCGGTGGTAAATTCAAAGCAGGTTTCAATATGACTGTCATGTAAGTTTCCGGTTTCCCATAGACGACCCTGTGTTTCAATTTTTCAGTGGACCTGAACCAAATCTGATCAAACCTAAAGGAAAGATTGAACTGGGAAACCCCGTCTTCATGCAGTTACTCGGAGAAGCTGGACAGCCTATTATTTCTGCCAATATTGGAGATTCATTGCAACTACGTTTCGAAATCATGGCAATGGAAGACGAACTTGACTTCTTCGTTCGTAAATGCCATGCATATCCGGGAGGCACTAGTGCTGAAACAGGAGACAAGCTTCAACTTTTCGACGGAGGTTGTCCAACTTTAGCTGCTGCTCAAAAACAGTTAGCTGGACCAGTAGAAGTTCTTAATAAGAAAGTGAAATTTGCTCGTTTGCAAGCTTTCCGTTTTGACTCAAGCAGCGCTATCAACATCACTTGCGAGCTTGACTTGTGTAAAGGAAAATGCAGCAAAGTAGACTGTTCATTGAATGAAACCACGAAACAAACGATAGGACGCAAGAAGAGAATGTCTGAATACTCTGATGGCGAATGTAAGATTAATTCACGTGTAGAATGAAAGAAATAACTTATTTACAGATAAATCAAGCCGCTCCAAGTACCCAAGACACATGCAATCAACTGTCAGCTTAGTCGTGAATGACCCATTCTCTAGCAGAAGATCTCGTTCCGTCCGCTCATAATCTCATCATCCTCCTTCTTAAATCATTAACTTTTTCATAAGTAAATCTCTCTGCTTCCAATAAATATCAAAACTCCTCGTTCTTGTCTTACACAACAAGCTACAGGTGATATCTGTCCACGTTTTGCAACTACAGCATACGATTTGAGCAAGAGCCTATATCGTAGTACAATAACATACAGTATCGTATTCTTTGATCGTGTGATCAAAAATCTGCGAAATGAGCACGGTTGCAAAACATTTGATTCAAATATCTGCTCGTTCAAAAGAATTGTTTGAGCTTTGAATCAGAAATTGATAATTGAATTTCAATAATCATAATTTCAAGCATGCACTGAGTCTACGGTTGTTACATCCCATGAACTAAAGGAGAGTAAGGCTATGCGATACAGAAAACCTCCGTTTGTTTTCTATGAAGATGGACAGAACTCTTTTGGAACTGTTGCTTTTCAAAGTTTTGAGCAAGTGATTTGCCAGGAGCAAACCCATATTTCATTTCTCTACGCTGACCATTAAGATGCGGTTGTGTTCTATAGTGTCGTTTTATCATTGAACTTAATTTATTCATTCATTTACAGTGAGAAGTAACAACTTGGAACATATGTGATGGGTGTGTGATATAATAAGGAAATGCAGTTCTGAGTTTTCTATTTATTTCTGCTATGAAGAGAAACTGTCTGGACTGTGGTCATCTGCATTCCAATTAATGATCCGATGTATCTATGGAGAATTGGAAAAGAAACTAAAAAGAGGTTTAAGATGATAATTTGTAGGAAAGTTACATATACTCGTTAATTGTCGTAACTTTTTAGCATATGCTGGGTTAGCCATCAAGATAATGAAAGAGCCAACAATTGGATAAATACCCAAGGATATGAATATAACAGGTGATGCATCTGAAACAGAATTAGTAATCAACTTTGTTCCATGTTTCATATGAACTGAAGTATACTGAAAATAAATTTAAGGAAAACGAACATGGAATGTAAACTTCGCCAATAACAGAAACCAAAAGGACGGTAAGTGGAAGAAACAGACCACAAATCTCGATTAACAACTGCAATAATGCAATGTCTCCAAATCAAACCTGGTTTCAGCTTATTCTCACCAAATGAAGAACAGCAGCTGTTGCTTTGTTTTGTTGATTTGAAAATCGGGATGAAACAATGCTCTGAGTATGATCTCGTAAGCTTTGAACAAGAATGATGG